TTCATGAGCATTTTTATGCCCCATATTGCTCCTCGCTGGAAGTATTGAACTAAGATGATAAGCACACGTTTTCCTATCTCGCTGAAATTTAACGGCCAATTGATAGCATATAAATTTCTATTGTTTATACCCAGCTTCCTGAAGACCCATTCGACTAGGATGAAACAATTTTGCCACGGAAACACCTGAGATACTTTAAAATGCATTCATTATGTAATTCAATATTGAATCCACCATCAATTTGTTAAACAAGAATAATCGATATCCAATATGATTTCGATGAACTATCTTCTTTACGCTGGCTTATTAGCCGTAAGGTAAAGGTCCCTGAAATTTGATAAAATTCTGCATAGTCGGCTCCACCAGTTGACTTTCATAGTTTTGGTTTGTAACGACAGAAAGCAAGAGTCAGGCAACAGATCCTTTATTAAGGAAATCAATGCACATTTATATATTTGCATGTACATTACTATGGTTATTTAAGCAAACAAACACAGTCTTCCGTTTGGTTGTTTCTCACGTAAAGTTAATCTTTCATCAATTTGTGACTGTTTCTTGAATGTCAAATCCTCTATATGTTAACTGCATCCGCCTACGCACAGTATGCTGTGGTCGGTTATGATTCAATCTTTGTTCACATTTTCTCACGACAAATCTTTGGAACGTAAATATTGACGTACATTACTGTCTACCAATATGGCTAGTAGACATCTCTCACCACAGGTTGACTCCAAACTATGTGGTGTGGGGGTTGGTTACGTGTGGTTTGTTGTATGTGGTATGTTAAGACCTTATCGCCACTGTCAGTGGAGTCGTCCGGTATGTCCGAAAAGGCAGACAGTAATAGATATGGTTGGTGTAGATTTTGTAGACCTGAGAAAACGTACAAATAGGTAGACAATGAAATCTGATAATTAAAAGTGAATAAATACGTTCAAGTAATCACAGTATCAATAATAAATTAGTGTACAAGTAGGTAGAGTAGTCAGAAGAGTGAGTCAGTGGGGAACGGTCAGTGGTGAAGCACCAGGTTCCGTGTGCATCAACTAATAATTTGGTGTAAGAGTCGCTTAGGGCTTCCTAATAACGGTGAGGCAGACGTGGCTGCTGGTGAAGACTTTGAAGCACAGCAAACTGTAAGAAAAAGAAACCAGGGGTAAACCTATTCTGTAGTCCCTGATGCCTTATCATTCTCGGGTTGATAAGGGGAAGCCCGTGATGTCTCAATGGCAGAAGACCACTGTTTCAGTGATTCATGTAATTTGTAACCTAGTGGTTAGTAATCACGTCACCCCTGTGGCGATGGTACCTAGGTGTGAAAAGATCCAACTTCTTCAGTCTTCTATCCGATGCTTTATTTTGGAGACCCATCCGTCCTCAGATTCACCCAAAAAGACTAGCGCCCACTATGAGCAACGGGGCAGCAATCATACTATGCATCTTATGGTTCGGTTTTACGTACGTGTTGTATGACTCAACAACAAGCTCAAGAGTACACTTGACTACCTATGAGTAAATTGTATGACTTCATATACCCCCGCCACATCCTCCGTGTAATTCACATTTATATCCAACTTCACCTTTAGGACGAGAACTAAGACGTTCCCGGATGTTATACAGCACAAGTCATCGTCACTTTGGGAGTAACTTGCACTCTCTGGCTTGCAGGTGCGAACGTGCACCACCATGAGCTTTTCTGGCTGAAAGTTATGCCACTGACTAGTCTTCTGAGCAATCTGTTGCTCTTCATATGCATGCATCATAAGAGTGAAGAAGAGATGGGACGGCATGACAGGTCACTTATCAAAATGAAAGAGCATCATGGTCTCTAGGATAGAACCCTGTGACACTCAAAGTACCAAACTGTGCAAGGATGATTGGACATGACTGATCCCGGTGAAACATTCAGTTAGGACAGCCATCCAGCCGTGAGGGAATCGGGCCATCTATACCCACCTGTGTAATGCCCTCGCGAATTCAAGGAATATCACACAGACTCGGATATTTAAATCCCAGCATGACGGCCAATCATTCCAAGCCGATAATATTTTTTTGATTACAGCCTGATTCCACACCGTATCTTTTGGTACAAGTATGGAATTTTCAGCATGCGATATCGGTAGCTCAAATTTTGCAGGCCGACCATATAAATCAGGTGTGCGTCGTCAGGGGATCGAACCCCGTGCCATTTGCATTGTCGGCGAGAGTCTTAACCACTGTGTCACCGACGCAGAGTTTTGGGATCCTCTTCTTCCGAGGCTATGTTACGCTTCATATAGCGTTTCGCTCCTGCCGAGGTGTTGGCTGACACTGTAATTAATCGGGCTTTCCAGTACCTTCGATACTATAGTGAGTAATTAACTGGTCTGTAACTGGTTTTCAAACAGTTATCAATGTATTACTCAACTTACATGTACAGTCTGCCATGCTGACGCAAATAGCGCAAATGGATAGTTCTAGAATTGACCCCATTTGATGCAGTAAAACAATCTAACATTACCTTATCTAACTTTCGTATAAAAGACCAAATTTCTTTCCTATTATAAAACTACGATAAGACTGCTGACAGAAATGGAATAAATACATTATTGAATCAAAATAATACATCAATAAACTTTATCTCACGGATGCTGTTCACAACAAAGTTTTATAGGAGAAATGACTTCAAGCTTTATTTTTCCCAGATATTTGTATCACACTCATCTGAAGTCTGGGTTTTTTGTTAATGCGAAGACAATATTTCTATATCTCTTTATGTGTTACACAGACAGACTATTTTGCAGACTGTTCTGACTGACACTAATGTTAGATTGAACAAACAAACTGTAATTTATATAATAACTTATCCATGCCTGTACAATTGGTATGTTCCTGCATAAACAGGAATAAATATATATATATATAGTTCCTTGTTTCCTATCCTCACTCTCAAAGATAGAGGAAAGGATGGCTCTCTTTTACTCCTTTGGCAGTTTCCATGGATCCATATAGTGTTGGAACAGGTCGCATAGGGTTCTGCAGAGGGCTTTTGAGCACAATTTCGGAAGAGATGACAGAATGTAACCACAATCTGCAGACTTTCCAAGGGTGAGTTCCTGCAACTTCTTTATTGCAACTGCTGGATCAATTTGGAGTGTTCCCGTCATGTTTTCTCTTCGTCAGTTAGCAATCTGATACTTACGGCTTATTACGGTGATACTCACACTGTTATTTTGCTGTCAGTGAAAGACAGAAATGAACGCTTCAGCTATTTCCAAACCACTGAGACATTGATCATCTGCCCCTCCCCAAGGCTCTTGCCCCCTGACTTTAAGATTTCTTTCCGACATACTTCAGTTTAGGCTTCTGAGATTTGTCAGGAGACTTTTGGCAATAGTTACCTGGAATAAAATCCACAATCTTGTGTGACGTCGGTTTCTGAGTCCCAGATATGCTTCGTGATGGGTCTACCTCAAGGAGAGTCACAGTGTAAAGCAAGCTTTCTGCTTTGCTTGCAGATTACTCTGTGTGCCACTCTTCAACCATGAGGGTTGCTTTCTAAGTTAAAGTGTAACTAGAGGGGCTACAGCCATCTGGGATTGCTGTGAAAATGGTCCCTTTTACCGTCTCCCGGTATTCCTCTATTGTGACTACAGCCCAGTCTTCAGGCCATTCCGCGCCGGGCAAGTCTTTGTAATATGGTGAAGTCGGTTTTGTCACATCACAGACACGGTAGCATAGCATCCCACTTTAAGCTCTCGCGTGGAAACAGATCAGGCACTAAGACCGCATGATCAATGCTGCTTAGACGGCTCACGATGTGGGTGCTTTCTAACAGTAACTGGTCACTAGCTGGGATACAATTCAATTTGGATGATTTTCCACTAAGGCCATAGTGATCCTCCAACCTGCTGAATCAATATTGCTTTTCTGATGTTGTGTAGTAGATTTCAGTCAAGTTAGTTAAGCAGTGAGGTCGCGCCTAGTTCTGTGATAGTTTTTACAGTCAGTAGTAATACAGTTGACATCTCAAACCTAGGGCACTTCTGGCAGACCACAATAATTCGTTCTAAGAAACCGGTCCCTCATCTTAGAAGCAGCAGTGCAATAGCATTGTAAACGCCTACATCTTGGCTTGCATCTGTTTTGTTAAACTACAACGCAGGCTCCGGTGTATGTGATCCCGACTGCATATGCAAGAAGCGGACTACCCTAGTTGCTTTGGTTGTCGCTTGCATAGTTAGCAGTTGTTTTCATTTATCTCTGTGGAATAGGTTGAGAGCAGTTTCATGCAACTGGCATGGGAACTTTTACTTCACTTGTGTACGAAAAAAATCGCCATAATTACTCATGCCAGAATCGGTCTATTTTCCATGGCCCACTTCTTCAGATGGATCAGGTTTTCCTCCAGCTTGACCAATTATTCCATATTTCCCACAACCTTCTACAGCCCTGCGCGTGTGAAGGAGAGCTAGAGAGCCTAATTTATTGATCGGACCGTCCATAAACATTAGGAATAGCGGTGGATATGTTTGATTTTTTATTCCTTCACGTTTTCAGTAGAACACAGCGCTTCAAGCTAGAGCCTTGAGGTTTCTGTAGCAGTGGTGCTTATTTTTACAGCCCAACTTTCCCTCTTTACCAGCCTTATTACCGGCTTAGCGAGTTAAAGGAGTGCGTCGTCCGGGAATTGAACTCTGCACCACATGTATGACTGGCGAGCATTCTACTGCTGTGTTACTGATGCAGTGGATATGTTAATTCATGTAAATTGCCTTTACCCATGTTAGGTGAGCTCAGTGACACTACTCCATTACCTCTTCTAATATGTATCTTGTACAGATAACTAACTGTAAACATGCTTACTCAACATACATATTATTTATCATATTGATGATGCTTGTAAACTGGTGTCCGTCATGTACAAAAGCAATGAGAATATATTATTATTATCTAGGACAGAAGAATGATTTCCCCAGCAACCGATTTGAAAAATTGTTTTAACTATATCACTATTTTAGCGAGAGCGTTGAGTCCTTTAAAACTGAGTAAGTATTGAGTGTTTCTGTATTGTTCCCTGGTTGTTGCTCATATAAAATCTGTGTTAGCGACAGGATTTATTAAGAACAATGGAGTAAATTAGGAATTTGGGAATGAGAGAAGGCTATATCCTCTAAACAATACTAGATCCTTGATACTATTCAATATAGTCATTGCATTTTAATGGACCCAGCTTAAGAATATACCTGTATACTGAGCAAAGCGGAGGTTTTTTTGTTGAAACCCTATGCTCCAATCAGCACCGTAGAGAATAATGATAATACTGTCGTTAGCTGCTGACAATAAATGGATGCTGGAATGAAGGGAACTCTTTGGAGAATATGCCATTTAAAATATAAATTCTAGGTTGGATCGAATACGATCAATAACCATGAACCCCTTTTTTATGTTTCTTCGGTCGCCAACATCTAATCAAATGAGATAAAACGGCACTCTTACTGACTTTGACCGACTTATTTCCAACTATGAAGGAAGGTGCCAAGCATTTTGTCTTTTAATATCGAGCTGGTCTCTTTATGCGACATTCTTCACGGAAGCGGCTGAATTTACTGACGCATATAAAAGTGACGCGGTTAGGCAATTTATTGTGCTGCCTGGAAAACGATAATCTATAGGTGGTAGCTCTGGGCTGTTTTTGGTATAGAATGATTTGGAGTTCTGCGGACTGCCACTTCTGGCTGATGATGATTGATATTTCTTGCTGGAATACATAGTTCATATGTCTGCCACCACTACTGGGAATGACGCGCGTAGATCAACGTATTATGGATATAATCTGATTGAATGAGCCTGGCCTCTTATGGCAAAACAGGCATCAGAAGGCGTAATTTCCAAAATAGCTGGTATTATGTTTACGTCAGTTCCTAATAGATAAAACCACCTACTGTTTTCTTTTAAATCAATCGCATGTCTTGCAGAAGAAGAAATTCTGAAGACTATGCATTATCAAGTCCTGGAAATAAAAAATTATAGTTAATACGAAATAGGCGCTGAGAACTATTTCCCATTGAATTCATTTTCCCCCTTTCGCCACATATTTCGATGGCGCAGATTTCCGGTAACTTAATCTGTGTTACTGTTAAACTTTCATTGAATTTTATAACAATGCTTGAGAGTGTCATATCACTCAACCATTTTGTCCTGCTGATTAAATCAATTTTATTTCAATGTCCAGAGATATGAAAGACCGCATACTGAAGTTCATTGAGTGGGTTCAATTAGTAATTAATTATTTCAGCGGGATAGTGAAGATGTGCTTTAGTAAACTATTGTTTTTGTTTGACTGTAGACATTACGTTACCGGGCTAGAAGTAATCACTTAGCACCAGCTTTATTACGGCATAAAACAGATAGAATTAAGGGATGGAATGACTGTTAGTAAACGCCTACTGCTATTTAGCCACACAAATAATAAATGGTCAACTGGGGCGTGTGACAAAATGGTAAAAATACCTGATTTCTTGGTGTAAATTGGTTTTCAATAACACCAGTGAGGATTTATCCGTCAAGCGGTATCCTTAAGCGTCTTGCTGGAGGACGATAAGCAAAGGATATATATGTTTGGGACCCTCCAGTGGTGTTCCCCATTGTCACGCGTTCGTGAATTTATTGTAAAATTAATAGCATGTGTGTTAATAGCATTTATGAGCTCTCTTCTATTTATTAGGTGCTTTGAGACCTGAACTCAAACTTCTTGGTGAATTCCATCTGTTTTGAGCAGCAATATCAAACTATTAGTTGTGTGAAGCATGAACATAAATAAAACTATAGATAACCTGTCTGTAACTAAGTGCTAAACTATTTACGTAACCATTTTCAGAAGGAGCATGATTTGTTTCTGTAAGCGAGGTTACGGATGAATCAAGTGATTTTAGGCACAGTACTTCAAGTCCCAGGGTAGAATTTAATGAGAATCCCACCTGACTGAATAGCTTTGATTTGGGTGGATTCAACGATACTCTGGATCCGGTACATTCACTTTTCCAAGAGGCAACTCACCATCTCAGGCATTCAGTTTTCAACCAACAGGCCATTCCTAGCACTCTGAGTGAAATATGGGTTATTACAAGACTTGGATTTTCAGTAGCGTTGGTGTTGTTTCTAGGGTGCGAGATTACTGACCTCATATCCGTCCTTTGGTTTTAACCGGGCTCACTGCCAGTTACTAAAGCCTAGAAGCAAGCCAGCTGGGAATTGGAACTGGGTCACCGTTGCAGCCGGCGCAAATTCTACCGCCCAACCGTCGACCAACAGTTTTCGGTGTTATGTATCGTTCCACTAATTCCGGCTTAGTTAACTGGGTTTAATCAACAACATTTATGTGGTAACTGTGACAGACTCATAGCCTGGCATATAAAATACTACTGCAGGCAACCATGTTCCACCTAAATCCTGAGCAAGACACGAACGTCAGGAAGAATTCGGTGATGGGTCCTGCCCAATACATCAGAAACGTCACTAGAAAATGTCACACCCAGAAGTACACTGGAAGTGTAACTGGTAAGAAAATGCTTCTAGTTGCGTACACCATTGTACATCATCAAATAATAATGAACTTAAAATTACCTTCTTTTCCCAAATGAAAACCCTCCACCGTTTCTCGAGGAGATATGAAATTCGTTTACTGACCCAGAGGTCGTCAAAGAACAAGCAAAAGTACAAAATATAAATGACCAGAAAATACAGTCACTCATAGCGTTATTTCACATAACAAATAAATTCCTTAGTTAGCGACTTCTCAACTTAATGTTCAGCGATGCGGCATTTAGTTAACGTTAAGGTAAACTGTTTGAACTTCAGGTCGTGTGAAGAGGACAATGACTAGTATTATGACTGTATCGTTGTCACAGAAAGCAAAATTTCCATTCATGTAGACGTGTAAAAATGGCATTTTCCGGTCTCACCCCAGTTACGCAACTCAAGTAGGTAAGGGCATTTCTTTATCAAGGTATGTGCTTTCTGTAATGAATCCTCATATCACAAATTACTGTCATGGATATATAAATATCCCGTTCATTCATAACTAATTTTTTATCTTTCAGGTTCATTGCTGAGATAATAAAGATGTTTGCCAATGGCAACCACTGATCAGTGTATGAACATTGCCTCAATATGAAAAAGACTTTCCGGTCTCTTTAATGAAGTTTGGAACACTAAAGTTTTAGTAAAGTAAAATAAGTAACAATTCAATAAAAAGATATTCAGCTGAAATTAAAAACACTGTTCAACCTTGTTCTTTAAGATTTGTAAACTAATTAATTAGCCTGCTGCGCAGCTAGGTATCTGATCATCGGCAGTTGAAATGGTGGCACAGCTGGTAGGCTTGAGTACTCAGGCTTCGAAGAGTCACTGGTTGGAGCGCTAGTCCATTTACCTCGCCCTGGACAACTAGGATGTGTGAAAGTCCATCGTACGATAAAGCTAACACTCGGTGTGATAAATGAGACCTTTGTTTCAGGCAGATGAGGTCAAACAAACAGCCAGCTGCGAGTCAATGAGTATTTATCGATTCTGAAGCTTTGTTGGGAGGCCAACGTGTTTGAATGCTTGATTAAACATTAAAAAGCGCACAACTCAGATATAATTTCCTCAATTTATCCCTGGGTCATTTCGAAGACTACGTACCCGATCAGTGTTTTTGCCTATAGGAAACATGTTACTTCGGTATTCCGAGAGCAATAAACTTTCCATAGGGTGATAAATCTGTAAAACATTACCTACAGGGGCACTTATGTCGGGGAATAGGAGGAAAGGCTAATGTCAGACCATTTTAGCTTGAAACAGTGAGGCATCATTTTAAGTTTTTTGGAAGTGTTTTGATTTCCTCACGCAAAATGCCCAATAGACATACAATAGAGGGTAGGAATTTTTCGGAGATGTGCAGTAAGGAAGAAACGACCACTAGTCAAAAACCTCTTTTGTTTCCTGGGACTGAAGTTTGACTTATACGTCCTAAACAAAGCAGCCGTTGAGCTTCTTTCAACCCGGTAACTCTCTCCTTAGTGGCTTTTCGTCTAAAGTCTGTGCTATTCGGTTTCTCCAGTTTTCGTTCGAGTTTCACGATAGAGTGAATTTCCTGACCCACCACATATCTCTCACTGTGTCTTGTTACAAATTACACTGCAATCTTATCACTAGATTACTTACGCATTTAATTTTAATTTTTTCCTGATCCGCTTAGTTATATCTACCGTCTTACGTCCTCTTTCACATTTTCTACTAATTTATCAAAGTTCTAGGTGGTGCCCTATTCCTAATGTTTACACCTTCGACAATAACATGGTTCTTGCGACACTGAATATTCATCACTATATACTAAGATGTTTTATTCCCGTGCGATTTTGTTTTAACCTGCACCGCTCTATTCCTGAGTTTTCCTTTAAATGATGCGTGGGGAATATAGCCTGTGGGTTCCCACGACTGACTTTTGTTTGAATTAATTACATGAACTTGTTTATCAGCGCTTAAACAGTGTGGATACTACCGATTAATTGGAAAGTTCATCCAGTCTCTCATGTTTTTGACATTGTTGTTGCATTGCAATTCAAAATATTTTATATGGATATAAATAACTCTAATTCTACTTCTTGCAAATAAGTAGACCATTGTAACGAGCTTAAACACATATACCTTACCGGCAGTTATTCGAAAATAAGATATGAAGTCTTGATGCAAAACTATGATGAACACTGGTCTGAATAACATAAATATTGTAGAGGGTACGAATAACTGGGTGAAGACTTGACTAAATTGGCTTTTAACAGAGCGAATTGCAGGAAAAGCAGTTCAATGAAAATTTGGGATAAAGTAGACCTATCGCTTGTCACTTTTACGCGCAAGTTTTAAGCGTTTGCTTTGTTAGTAGTTAGCGATGGTCTAGGGTGACTGATGCTAAAACAAAACATGAAGGAGTCGGAATTTTCAAGCATTATTAATCTTTGGGGTAAAAACCACTTGTCATAGGCTACAGTGCTACTCAAAGAGTCTGAAATCTCTGACGATTCCACATTCGGTGGTAAGTAGAAAATAACTGTGATGTTTGCGTTTGTAAGTTAATGATGATATTTTCTAACAGTATTTGGTTAACATACCGTTTGTACGGGCATGATCATATCTGACAAATACAGCTTGGATTGAACACTATTTTATGACATAAATATTGGAAAAAAGGAGAAGAATTCAAACAACTAGATGAGTAACTTACAAGGTTTACTTTTAATCGAATAAGTTATAGGATATCCGTTTAAATCTAATCTTCAATCTCTAATACAACTGTAGTTTGTTAGTTTCACGCTGGAATTACAAAGGGCTGCGCTACTGGAATGCAGGAAGAAAGATGATGAGCAAGTGCCAGAGTGAGACACACAGAATGTAGAACTTACAATCATTACCAGTCCAGCAGTTATAAATGGTTTGAAAATTTATAGAATTCTACAGTCATCGGTAAGTACAGCATTATTTTCACTCAAGCAGATTTATGGGACCAACTTTGCGATGATAGACAGGTTTCATGATGGAGGTTGGTCCCTTATACATCGTATGAGCAAACAATAATCTGAATATCTGCCGAGTAATACTAACGCGAAGACAGCATTAATGTATGTATACAGTGCTGCAATGCAGTACCTCTGAGTTCAAGTGTACAGCATTAAGAAACAAGAAAAAAAGGATGATTGTCCCCATCAACTTAGGGTAGTGGCAACATTAGATACCGAAAGTTAAGTTAAACTCAAACGTTAAAGTACATAAAATGTATGGAAGAAAAGCGAAAGTTTAATAAGATTTATGCTGCTGTTTTCATTCACGCAGTTAGATGTCATTCTGAAGTAGCGAAATCCTACAACGTGCTTGTATTCGGAGAGTTTTTACCAAGGCAGTTTTATCTTTCTTTTGTTGAAGATATTCAAAGTCACGAGACTTAGCAATGAAGGGCTGTCCTACAGAAAAAGGGTGCTTCTCATAAGTCCCCACCGTCATATCCGCCAAATAGCAGCCATCGATCTATCACTTTTTAATGTACAAGGCCTTGAAGACATATGTCTTTCTTCAAATTTTATTGATACATTCCACATAGATTTTGCATTCATTATCTAACTTCATACTGTGAAAGACTGCCTCCAGTCATACATCTTGCATGACTTGTCTGTTACAGCATTTTAAAAATATATGTGTAAAATAAAAATGTAAAGAAATTAGGAGGTTGTAGTCTGCTTTCTAGATTTTAGATATTAACAATTGAAAACGAATGGGCAGTGAGAGAAAGTGCAAAAGAACTGCATAAAGGTACATCATTATATATAAGCATAGAAAGAGACAGTAGTAACTTATAACATGTCGTTCAGAAGAAACTATCTACACAAGATTGTAGTAACAGAAAAGTGAAATCAAATCCGTTAATATTTGAGACTCATTGAGGAGTTAAGTTGATTACTTTTGGGAGGGAATTTGTGTAGACGTGGATGGTATTTACGCACAGCATTAGGTAGTCACCAGAGGAGATTTTAATACCGGTCATATTCGGATTATTTACTACTCTATATTGAGGTAAAACTCTTACCCCGCTGAAATGCTCAGGGGCTATTTACCGTAATAGTTAATTAATTTGACAGTCAAAAAGTGGGGTTTAGTGGAGTTGAATGACTCGAAAGGTATGACAGGTGAAGTTGGTAGAGTTTTCAGGAGATGAAGATGGTGTGGTAGCAAGGAGGGCAATTCACGTAGATCTGATGCAGCTTTAGCGGTGAGTACGCCAGGCTACGTATTCCACTCCAGCTTTGTATGTAGGGACTATAGATATTTTGGCATGAGGCTTGCTAAGCAAATAATTGAGTCAACTGAAAAAGGAACTTAAAACAGCATCGGAGTAACATCGATTATTTCAAATAAGTATGATAATCCTGGCTGTTTCTTTTAATGTGTTGAGTGAACAGAGCTGTTAAAGTACGCAAGTCAAAGGAAAAAGAAACGGTATCACGAATTTTTAGCGTATGGCAAATCGAGACAAGACTATTTTCTGATATATATTTGTTTGATAGCTAGGTGAATCGTCTTGTTGGGGTGCTGGCTTTGACTTCAATTGGCAAGAAGCTCCATATTTGCCTGCATTTCAATTAATGATAAAGTAGTTAGAACGAGACTTCGTTCGACAAAAATGACCTGGAGAATACCGATTGCTGCGTGACCTATGTGTTGAAGAAGTAAAGTTTATTATCAGGTAAGTATACGATTCCTCTGAGAATTTTAAACAGGAGGATGAGGTTAAATCATTGACGCCTGAATCGAAAGAGTTTGATCTTGAGAGTTGTACAGCAATGGTTACAGGGATATTTTACACCATCTCCTAAAGTTCTACTTGTATGTCTCTTTCGCATATATTCAATCTTTAGTTTGTCCTTAACAGGGGTGCTATCTAGGGTAAATGGATCGTACTCAAGGACGGGGCATATGTGAGTTTTAACCAACAGTACTCCAGACTCCTGGGTTCGAAAGTTTTGAAATATAAATCCAGGTAATCTTCCGGCTTCAGAAACCAGGCTGGTAAAATAATGGAAGAATTTAAAATCAGTGGAGTAACGGAGCCCGAGGTCAAGTATCGAAGGAAAAATAGTGATTGGCTTGTCGTATATAGTCATGTGCGATGCGATACGAGGGTGAGCTGAACATAACAGACCACGATTCTCCACAATGATGTGCATCATCCATGATTTACATCAAGTCTCGGTTTTGTCAGTATGTGATTGTATTCTATCAAACAGACTTTTTACTTCTTTTGTGGTACTATTGCGAACTACCTTTAAGTCATCAGGATATAGGAGGGGTTTTTCTTCCTTTATAACATCATATACATCATTTAGAAATATAAGAAAGAAGAAAGGCCCTAGTACACTACCTTGGATTGCGCCACTTGATATTTGAGCGTGCTAGAAAATGCGTCGTCAATCCTAACAAATTGGGACTGACCACATATGAGTTACACCGTTGTACAAGATTTCCAGATGTGTCGTAAGCTTTCAGATTTTTCAGGAGTAGACTATGGAATGCCTTACTGAATGCCCTCTTAAGATCGATAAACAAAGTAAGCAAAGCGAATTTTCCATCTGTAAGTCCGATGATAGAGTCGAATAGTTCTAAGTGGCATGTCATATATGGCGTGAGCCTTTTAAAACCATTCTGAAGTGCTA